AACAGAGTTATTACAATTTTACTTATTGAAATTATTGTTGAGTCCTACCATCAAAAGCTTTTTCACATTATAGTTAGACCTGGGCTAGTACCCCATTAATGACCAATGTGATGGCTTGCTTGAAGGTCAGCTGTAGTAAGGCTCCACTGAACTGAATGGTATAAAGCTATTGATGTGCACATGCTGATGTGGCGACAGTATGTTAGAGGTGATTCTGGCTCTGGCTTTTCATGTGGCTCCTGAACCACTGGTTTTGTTGCCTGGTCAAAGTTTGGTTTGATGACAGCATCACAGCAGAGACATAGTGGGTCAGAGGCCTTAAAAAGAAAAACATTGAAAACCTTTATTTCTGGCATTACTGTAATGATAAATGCAAACAGCCATTTTAAGATTGTTTTTATTATGCATTTTGATCTTTATAAAGGGAGGAAAATAATAAAACTGATACCTTTAAAACTTGTTTAGTGAGAGGCTTGATGTTGCACAGAACAGGCACTGAGAGATAGTGTGATGGAGGTGAACCTGACAAGGGAAAACAGAAAGACTGTTATAAACTGGATATGAAACAAAATGTTAGAACCTTGGACAGTAATTGTACGTGAGCACTGCTGGAGGGCAGGAAACCATTTTCAGTCCAGTATCTGGCAGATCCCCACTCTGGCTTTTCAAGTGACTCCTGAACCTCTGCTTTCAGTTGACTGGTCAAAGTTTGGAGCTGCTCCTCCACGTTTTCAACAGACTGGTGATCAGCTAAAGGCAGCAGATTTGGTTCAACGCCTATCTCTTCTTCAGCTACAGATTTCAATCCCTGGACAGTTGTGAAAATGATTTTCATTTGGTCCTTCATCATCACCTCGTTTGTCAACTTAAGGAGTACTAGGTCATGGCTGTACATACAAAAACTAAAGTGCATGAATAATGTCGAACACTTTTATGAATTTTCAGCGGGTGTGTCAAAATAGATCAGTGACACAATGTAATATTTTATCCCAAATGCACCTAGAATTGGACTCTGTCAAGGTCTGTTTATTTGTCATATGCACAGTTTCCCTGTACAATAAAATTCTTACTTTGCTGTCCACATGAATGCCACAAAATACTAATGAAATATAAAGTAGATAACACAAAATCTAAGGCACTTTAAGCAGCAAAGGCAGCAATATAATAAAAAATATAAGGCAGCATAGCTTGTGCTAGAAACACCATTTCAACTCTGTTCAACTTGTGAGATGTTCAGCTACCACTACTACTACTTTTGAAATATTTAGCTTTATTTTGAAAATTTTGCACAATTTAAATGAATGAGGAAATTCTACTTCAGCATACTTTTAGCTATTTCAGGTATCAAAATGTTCGGCTCCTCAAGGACATTCATGCTTCTATTCAGAATTTTTGTAATCTTCAAACTTTTGAAATATTTAGCTTTATTTTGAAAATCTTGCCCCATTCAAATGAATGGGAAAATTCTACTTCTGCATAATTTCAGCTATCAGAATGTTCAGCTCTTCAAAATAATTCATGCTTCTCTTCAGAATTTTTCTAAACTTCATACTTTTAAAATATTTAGCTTTATTTTGAAAATCTTGCCCCATTCAAATGAATGGGAAAATTCTACTTCTGCATAATTTCAGCTATCAGAATGTTCAGCTCTTCAAAATAATTCATGCTTCTCTTCAGAATTTTTCTAAACTTCATACTTTTAAAATATTTAGCTTTATTTTGAAAATCTTGCCCCATTCAAATGAATGGGAATGTTCTAATTCAGCATAATTTCAGCTAGCTGTCTCTTTTGTGACCTTGTAATGTGATAAACACCTTAAGATCATGCAGCAAACTTAATTTCCTCACGGGGATAAATAATGAATCTATTGAAGTACCAAAATTAAAATTACTCATTGTGCAGACTGGCACATTAGTCATATGCAAATATGATTATGGCACATTATATTATTAGATTATTTCACCACTTTAATGTTGCCAATGTTGTGGAGTAGTGAACTACATGTAGTTAAACTAGTAGTCTAGTTTGCAGTAGTTTGCTGGTTGTTTAACTGCCTTCTTGCCTAGTGATCCAAGTAGTTACTTTACTTTGTATTACTATTTGTGTTATTATTATAGGCCATTTATAACAGGAAAATGGGACCTAATATTTGTAACATGAGATCATAACTTACTGAGCCCTTGATAGAACTCGTGATACAAACATTTTATATTTGACATATTTATTCTTAGCTTTAGTACACAAGTAAATACCAAATGTATTCTTACTTACAATTTATATACATGTTATTTTTAGAAAGTGTATTTTGAAGGAAAAAAAAACCATAACCAAATTAAAAATTTAAGCAGGACCAGAATGCTAGCTTTTGAACTTCTGGTCTTTTTTTTTTTTCTCCATAGCATAAATGTACAAACCTTCCACTAACCTGAGCTGCAGACATCTGGTAAATGGTCTTATACTTGTATAGCACCTTTCTATGCTTTTACAGCACACTCAAAGCGCTTTCACATTATTCGGCCATTCACCCCTTTGCACTCCCACATTCACACACCGGCGACATCACCAGGAGCAACTGGAGCAACAGGAGCTCAAGGACACGTCGACATGTTGACTGGACAAGCTGGGAATCGAACCGCTAATCCTTTGGTTAGGAAACAACCTGCTCTACCTCCTGAGCCACAGCCGCCCCCAAATTTCAGACAAATCCTTTTTATATATATAGTGTTGTAAGTTTTGTGGCGATGCTTCTTAACCCTTTTGTTCCTGGAGACAAATGGCACAAAATTAAGTAGGCTATGTGCAAGCTCAGGTAGGACAGAACCTGGAAAATACCCATCCCCCCAGACAAAAACAGACAACAACTGGCTTGGATTTTCTTCAGTTTCTTAAAAAGATTCAGTCCACAGTAGTTCAGAGTTTGGCACCAACAATATAAAAACAAGTTAAACAAAAATGAAGTATACACCCCAAAATAGCATTGAACAAAATGCCTGAATAAAAAGGGATAAATAAAAGAAATTAATATATAAAAAAAATACAAACATGTAAGTAGTTAAAATAGTTAAAATGCATTTCACTTAGAAATAATGATGGATTTTCCAATTCGTTTTGAAATTACAGTTGGAGGTTTGGTCAGTCAGCTCTTAGACCTGCTATGCCTTAAATACTTTTAAAACAACCACATTACACATGACATAATCAGCCTGCACTGTAATAACAGGAAAGCAATGTTTCAACTCAAAAGTAACTTTTTTTAAGTGAAGTTTGTCGTTTTGAATTTCTTGTAATTCAGAGAAACCCTTAGTGCCCAGTTGCTCTGCTCATTAACAAAGGAACAACTGTAATCCTCTTCATTACAAAGAATGTTCATCCAAATGAATAAAAGCTGTGAGATCCATTTTATTTCAATCTGACTGACTGTGACTATCATGTCTGTTGAGGTCAGGCAAGCTGATTCAGGAACTGTAAAAGTTGTTTTGGATGACAATAGAAATACTGTATGACTCTGGATTTTGTTTGGAGTAATCTCACTGTCTCCTCATTTGGAAATATCTGAGGACCCGTACAATACATTCTTTTATTACCCAAGTGTCTTCTGAGTATATACTAATCACAGTGGGAAATACAACAAATGTGGCTACAGGAATAATCAGGCACAGATGTTTGGAATGGTGCATTTTGTCTTGATCAGAAAAAGGATAATTGTAATGGAATGTTTTGAAATAAAAAAATCTAGTTAAAAATCTCAATACAACAGTACAAACAACACTGCTTTGTTTGTGCGTGTGTGTGAGTTTGTTAAGCGTATGTTTGTGGTAGGCAGATTTGAGGTGAAAGATCAGCAAAATTTGTATTATGAAAGATTTAAGTCAAAATTCACCTACATATAAAAAATTGTGGATCAGAACCAACACAAAAGTTGGACAGATCTGTGAAAAGGGTGAAGCAGGTGGTGTAGGTAAAAGAAATTAATATATCTGAGATTTTTTTAAGGCACTGAGATTTGGTGCGGGGAAAGCCTTTAAAGCACGCATCTGATGGAAATGTCTTCTTTTAACTTGAAGCAAAAGGAGGCTTCCATCTTGAAGTGGTCTTGACGCTGTAAGGGGTCTCACGTCTTCTTACTCGTTTACTCAAACTCCCTTCTTCTCTACTCTGAGGGGCTGTGAGCATCTGCGAGCAGCTCTGGCCTCAAGCATTCAATGGGACACTGTATGTTCTGGACAGCAGGAAAGAAAAGGGCGAGAAGTGCAGAAAAGAAAGAAGAGGATGGATTTAAAGCAGCATTGGCAAAATCAGTGGTAATTTGCAAATAACCAAACCTACTGTAACCCCTTTTGTGTAATACTGAATGAAATACCCAACACAAAAACCAGGTATTGTTGAATTTGGAGGATATGTAGAGTTAAAAGAGGTAAAAGACAATTTCAAGTTGTTATCTGAGTAAAACTTCATATTATTTTTTAACTTCTTTACCCTTCATCTGCCATTTTTTGTAGATAATTACCAAAGAATAGATTATAATCGTACTGGTACATTTGTAGTGAAACACTGACCAGTTTGCGTAGAGCGTTTTCTCTGTAGCGGTCAAAGACATCTGAGTTAACAGGTTGGAGGAGGTCAACATCCACATCCGTATGCACTCCTGGCTTCCTGCAGTTCTCACAACGCCAGCCCTAAAGCAGGAGAGCGAAAAATGAATGTAGATGCATGACAAACACATTCTGGCTTCAAGGTGTCCATGATACAGCTCTCGGGTAGTTCAGTGTAGTAGACACAGAAAGGTACTGGTCATACTGTCAACATTAAAGCAGCAGGGAATAAGGTTGTGCACTCACAAATACAAACACACATACACAAACTGTTACCCACCTGTTGTCCACCATAGCAGGTACAGGTACAAATGGCACCCATATATTCCTTCTGCCACTGGCTGCCCATCTGGTAGATTTTCCCATCGTCATAACATGTCGACTCATCTGGAAGACGATAGTTACATATTAAGGAGTTGCAGTACTTGAGTAGAAAGATTCAATTAATTCTGCTTAAGATCTAATACTCAGTGTTTAGAATGCAAAGTGGAACTGGAGACTAAGCTTACAGAAAACATAGTGTATGTGTTCAGACTGTGTGTGAACCAAATTCAATGTGCCAGTGCAGATATATTTATCAAATAAGTTCATATTTGTGTGTCAAGCATGAGTGTGTGTCTATACTTACAAGGTTCACATTTAAATTCTCCCTTGCCATTTCCTAGGCAGGTGCAGCTCATCATGTGACCATTTTCAGCATGGCGATCCCACTTTTCGCCAATGCGGTAGTTGTTTCCATTATCATGACACCACTCTGAAGAAGGAGAAGCAAAGAACGGGAAGGAGAAGAAAAGCAATGGAATGATGAGAGAAATACACAAAGCAGACATGTTCAGGACAGGTGAATTGAAATAGAAATAAAGAGGAGATAAAGGTGAATAGAATGAGAGTATGGAAGAAGCAGGTTGAAGTGGACATGTGAAAGGGGAGAAGTTCGTCAATTTGTGTAAAGAGCAGAAACAACAGTTGAAAAGTTTAAACTTTTCCCTTCACACTTACAAAGAAAAATTCACAGCATTCACTTATAATGATTTCCACACAGTATAAATCAAAGTGTCTATAAAACAAGTACAGAACAATCTCTGAAGCTGCACAAAAAACAGGCATTCATCTTCAGTGCAAAATACTTTTGTAGTTCAAACAACTTACAATCTTGAGAACACGCAAAGCCTGAGTTTCAGTGGTTGTTGAATATAGCTACACAGTGCACCAGTGGACAGACACACATAACATGTACAGTATGCTGATGGATGATGCTCTCCGTTTCTGGTTAGCTATATAGACATTGCAAACTACTGATACTGATGCTAGCTAGTTAGCTTAGCTCGCGTTGCTTTTTCCCTCTTACTGTGAAGTTTTCACAGTTGACAGATACACTGCGTGGAGGCCAGCATGTGCAAACTACAGGCACAATTGATTCATTAACTGTGTAGTAATTTAAGTGGTTGTAACATGTAATGCACTGTACAGAAAACATCATCTTTACAATGCATTTAGGAAGAAAATAGTATCCAAAAATTGAATTAGCTGCCCATGCTGGCTCTTATTGCTGCATGCTGTAGCACACAGAACTTGATCTGTATCTCTATGGCTTTTGAACAGCAATCGCTAGGGAATTTATAACATGGATGATGTGAAGTGTCCTCAATTAGATGAACCGACATAGTGACTTTCTGATTTAAAGCCATTTTGGCAATCTAGGTTCGTCTTATAACATTATCCACATACAGCTTTTTTAAGGATGTGCTGTAGGTGCTAAACTGTTTTGGTCAATGTGTCACTCTTTGCTGAATGAATTAAACCATACAGAAAAATGCCACATTTTTCATACCACATAACAAATATGTGCACTTTGTCATGTCATAAATTCCCTCTCCTCTTGAGTAGGTCACATAGAATTATTTGACTTCTAATTCTATGGTGTGTTATTGGGTCTTTGCAAAGCTGGGAAGATGTTATTAAGCCACTCACTGGATGAGTCACACCTAAAATGGCCACTGCCCAAGCCCAGACAGTGACACCACAGCTTGAAGCCTGTCTCAGACATGCGCTCCCACTCTGAGCCCACCTCATGATAGGTGTGCGTGAATGTATCATAACATACGTCACGGTTGGTGGAATGACTGATGTCACCTGGAGCTAAGAGATGGAAGAAAAAATATGTTTAGAAAGAAATTATACATTTTTCAAATTATTCATAATAAAATATTGTTAAAAACAGCTAATATCTGGGGTGTCTCTATGCAAGTGCTATGTATGTTTAGGTTTTTATACAATGAATTTATCTTTGTATCTTTGTGTATACAATGTTACATGCTTTCTGTGAAGACAGAAAAAATCTCCTAACACACTTTGTCAGTGTGGACTACTATACCAGCATTGCCAACTGTTACGACTTTCTCCAGAACTTTCTCTTTAGCCCCGCCCCTCATGGCCTCTACTACAACACTGTAGGATGCTCCGGATGTCAATCCAATCAGTGTGGCACGGTTGGCAGTACCAGGAAGACGTGTCTATATGGAGGAAAACAAAGTTAATGAGTGGTCCTTATATCTCCAGCAGTGAATGCTGTATGTGAGTGGTGCGTGTGTTTTACCTGGAAGCCCCTTTCCTCCAGGTGTGTAATGGGATTACAAGACAGCTCATACTCTGAAGTCTGAGGGATTGGTTGCCACGAGATGGCTGTGATTGTCTGTGCTTCTTGGGGAAAATCTGTCTCATTGTCAGGGAACCCAAATGCGAGACCTGGCAGTTGACCCTCATTCACCTATGGGATCCAAAACAACAACAACAAAACAAAACAAAAAAAGAAGCGGTCATGATATCGAGTTTTATATTTCTGAATAAATCTGATGATCATCTACCTTCAATGGTATAAATCAAGACAGTTCAAGTTATGCTTTATGGTACAGTGGTTTTTCAGTTTACCTGAGAGGTTTTGATTTAAACCACAGTTTCTCATATGAAAACATTATCTTTCAGCATGCTCCCCCATTGCATGAAAAAATGTTTTTAAATATCTACAGTTATTGCAAGTTTCATTTGCTGATATGATTTAAGAATGGTAATAAAGAAAGTTCAGATTTACAGCAGGTAATCTGAGCCTCACAGACCTTGACCAAGGGAACTCTGTTTCCATCAGGGTCTGCAACAGGAATATAGATTAGGGGCTCTCTGAGAGTGGGTCTCTGGCCTTCTTTGGGCCCCTCGTAGGGGCCATGAAGTCCATTATTAGGGCCTAGACTCTGGTACTCTGTGTAGATGTGTTGGCCCTGCTGGCCTGGCTGGTTCTGGCCGCTGGTACCAGCCAAGTGCACATGGTTGGGGGTGAAGCTAGGCACAGAAAAAGAGACAAATGAGAAAAGAAATGCAAAAATGAGAGTGAGCAGGATAAAGGCATATTTGATGTTGCATTCTTAAAATGAATAGGTTCAAATTTCAGCATGATTATACTTTTTCTTACATCTTGTCATTGAAGGACTCTGGAACATCCAGGATGTCAGTGCTGGGTCGGTGAGGAACAGGAAGCTGAGGCAGTTCAGGGACAAACAGCTGATGATCTGGAGCTGGCTCTGATTGGATGGCAGACATACATATACTAGCTGTTAGAAGCAAGCAAGCTGAGTTTTTAGCACAAGACGGTTGTTTGAAAGATGTTCATCTGTATTGTTGTAATGCTTGTAACACAAACGTTATAACATTCATATTAAATGTCTAATTTAAGGTTACAAATGCGTCTGATGTATCCAGATATGCTCTAGTAGTCCATAAACACAGATACATGTTAAAGTTTATATTTTAATTCACTACATGTTTTGTTTATTTTAGCTACAGTCTGGGATGGGAGATCAGATTTATTATTAGGTAGATTTATTTACTCTTAATAGTCTAATATTAATGTGTTACCTGGCTCCAATAACATTATTATGACACATTTGTAGTTTTAGATACTGCCATCATTTTAGTTGCAGTCCACTTTGAGATACTGACCCTCTGCCTCAGAACACAAGCATGGGGTTAATGTATGTATGTGAGTACTATTAAAGAATACAAATTACTGTATATCAATGCTGGAAAATTCTGCTAGTAGAGAAAAAGGTCAGCAGGGGGCAGCATAGCACGGCTCTCAAACTCCATAACGTGTAGCAATTGTTATGAAGTGATAGTTTTACAGTGTTTATGTTAGCTGAAATACCTGGTACTCATGCAGTGGATAGATGAGATTACTTCATGTAATTAAGCACAAAGTTGCAACTGTTGGCACAATTTCTCATATAAAAACTGCCCATAGTGTTTTGATTTTACAGTTCTATCATCATTTCTGTGGGAAGGCTAATATTTCATTATTCCATAGCACCAGTAGAATGTAATACCTTCAGAATGTTATAATTTAAGCTGACAGGATAATGGTATAGTTTTAGTCTGTTCATGTTTGCACAGACCAGGTGGTACATACGTGTTCTGGCTTTCCCCACTAAAGGTGTGCTCCTCAAATCATTCTGCAGTGCAGTAATTTTAATGACATACTCTGTTCCTGGTTTCAGACCTATAACAAAACAAATTGAAAAGTTGGGAAGAAAGTTGATTTTTTAAATTAATGTATCTGCACGTATGCTCTATTTGGCTGTGTACAGTAAATGTTATGTGCCACACTCACCATGGACAGTGGTATAAACCTGGCCTGCATGGGGTCTGGGGGTAACTTCTCGAGGTAAACCGCCAACCTCCTCATAGGTGACATAATACCCAGTGACCCCTGGGCTGCGGGATCGCTCCCAGGTAAAAGAGATACTGTCAGGGTTCAGGGAGATGAAGCGGATATTGGTGGGTGGGATAACCACTGGTTTGGCTGGAAGAGATAGACAACTATGTAAGTAGTCATAAAAACTTGAGGGATGTTCTAAGAGCTTGGAATGTAGCGTTAAATAATTACACACTGCTAAAATCTGTAGTGCTGTTTCAGGTACAAAACCTGTATATACATTTCTCTGCAGGCAGAGCATGTGAGAGTCAAAGTAATGTATTCTTTTTGACTGATACAATAGAATAAGGGTTAATGAATACCTGTGGTTGCAGCGAGTGTGAGAGGTGCACTGCGTCCATTTCCTTTCAGTGTATACATATTGATCTTATAGCGGGTGCCTGGCTCCAGCCCTGAAGCGTAGACACAATGACATGAAAAGTAACTTGTGTGTGCACAGTATGTAAGAATCTGTTGTCATGATTGAACTACAGTATGTACATTACATTACATTATTCTTACAGCTAAACTACATTTTTGTGCATTTGCAAGCTTGTGCTTTCCCATAACTGTGTACCTGTAATAGTGAATGATCGTGAGTCAGGGCCAATGGTCCTTTGAACAGGTATGTAGCCTGCAGAGGAGGAGGTGGGTGTGACCTCAACCAGGAAGCCAGAGATGGTTTCTGTCTTGGAGCGCCAGGTCAGAGTGATGGAGGAGTCGTTAACGTCAGAGATACGTACACGCCGAGGGGGGCTGATATCTGAAGGTAGATGAGCAAAGACAGAGACGAAACAAAATCAGGACAAAATATATATAAATATATATATGTATATTTTAATGATGGGATAACCACGATGCATTTATTAGTCTTAATGTCAAGATTAATGAAATAGACTCACTCTCCAGAGTGGTGACCTCTCCTTGTATCGGTCTGCTGGTCAGAGAGTTTTTCAAGGCATAAACGTGGACCTCATAGGTAGTTGCAACCTAACAAAGAAGAAGAAAAGACTTCAGACTGTCTCAGTGCAGTCTCCATAATGCTGAGTATAGTACAGTACACTTGCTACAAATACAATCATACATGTTTATGTACAGTATGTGTTTCGCATGTATTTTACTAAGTCACAAAATCCAACTTTCTAATACCTGAACTGTATCACAATATGATCTGTCAGTAGCATTTGCTCTCAGTTGTTTCAAGGAAATGGAAATCCAAGAAGTGACCACGTTCAAAGTGATGGATATAACTTCTGTTTTAATATTCTAGTGACATAAGTGGAAGCCAGTGGGTGTATGGAAGGAAGAAAATGACCTTTTACTGTGACAGTCGGGGTAAAGAAACACCCCACAGTGATAATGCACTAACACGCAGTGATAACTATTTTTCAGGAAACAAGACTGAACAAAAGGTCATTCATTTGCACGCACCATGAGTCCAGAGATGTGAGCCTGAGTGGTGTCTGGCGCCAGGTTAATCTCTTTGGTGGGTCCACTCTTGTTCTTGGGATTCACCACCACACGATAGCCTGTGAGGCCTGTAAGATCATTTAGTCTGTTTTCCTGACCCGGCACAACCCAGTGCATAGTGAAAGAGGTAGGGCCGACCTGGGAGAACTGGAGGTTGGTGGGGGGTGAAATGGCTGCGGTGAGGAAAGTAAAAAAACTGTTAGTGGAAGACAGTATTAACAAGGGACACGCTCAGTGAAAATGATCAACTACAATGTGAATAACATCTACAATCAGTGCTGGACAAAACAAAAGTTCAGTATATAACATCTATACCTAATTTCCTCCAATACCTGTAGCTTGTCTCCCAACCAGTGGTGTGCTGGCTGTGTCATCATGCAGGGCGATGACCTTCACAGTGTATTCAGTTCCAGGTTGCAGACCATAGATTACAGCGGACTCGGCATCTCCTCGGGGAGCAGGACGCAGCTCTCTCTCGCCCTCCTCTGAACTTGAATATAAGACTCTGTAGGACGTAACAATTCCCTCAGGACTGTCCCACGTGATCCGCAGTGAGGCGGAGTCAATGTCTGAGAAGGTCAGGTCTTTTGGGTGGTCTACATCTAAAGGTGAGGAGAGCAGACAGAAGAGTGACAAGGCAGTGGGGTTGGAGATCTAAGTTTATTTCTGAACAAATATCTCTCTAGAAATGGTAAAGCCTCACTTGTAAAAGCATTCACCACCAATGGAGTGCTCTCTCCCTCTTGTCCAATAGCGGACACACTCAAAGTGTACTGCACTGTAGGCATCAGGCCTGAGAAAGTCATTCAAAAGCAATAAACAAAATGACAGTTTACAGCTAATTTAGCTTTAAAACACAGACAAAACACTACATACTGGGACTTTTGATCAACAACATACCTGGGGCCACCACCTCAGTGAAAGTTGGCCCCTGTCCATTTTTGGGAACCCCAGTCACCCTGTATCCCTTGATCGGGCCTTGGGCAGGGCTCCACCTGACTGTGACGCTGTTGTCGTTTATATGTGTCACCTTCATTTCAGAGGGCGACTCGATACCTAGCAGAGGAGAGGAAGAGGAGGAAGATGTGACTGGGAGACAAAATAATCACTTCTACATCTGAACGAGGGTAAATTTGTGTACGTGTCGTGTGTGTGACATAAATAGGAATGCTGGATGCAGGGCTGTCTCCTCTACCAGTCACAGCATAGACAGTGACTTTGTAGTTGGTACCAGGCTTCAGGTTAGAGATTGTGGCAGTAGACTCAGAGCCAGGCACTGTGAACTCCTTGGGATTACTGTGACCTCCTGGATTCACAGGGATACAAAGACTGTGTTTTAAAAATTAGCAGACTGATGAACAACAGTCAGGAACTGACTTAAAACCAAAACAAAATAATACTGTTTTTTTCCAAAACCTGGATTTAATCAGTATCATTATCAGTAGCTCACCTGTTTCTCCGTGAGTGATCCTATAGTAGCGTACAGTGACAGGAGGAGCATCCCAGCGGACAGTGATACTGGTGGGGGTAGAGTCTACTACTTCCAGGTCTGTGGGAGCATCAGAGACTGGAGAAAGAGTAACAAGCCAGAAACAAAACAATAAATAAAAACATATTGATGACAGCATGGTAAGTAACTGGAGCAGATCGATCAGGATTTCATACTTGTCCTCTGTGTCCCACTGAGTGGCAGGCTCTCCTGGGTCTCACTCACTGCATAGATGTTGACCAGATACTCAGTGTCTGGGGTGAGTCCCGTCAGAGTGAAGTGGCTCCTGGAGGGGGGCAGCCTCTCATCTTTGGCCCTCCCGCCACTCACCATCTGGTAACGAATACGATAGCCAGTGATTTTACTCTGGGGAGCAAGCCAATGGATGGTGAAGGAGTTGGGGAAGATGTCAGAGAAACTCAGGTCATCTGGTGAATCAAGAGCTGAGGAAGGTTGGGTGATACAGAAAAGAACACATTAATACTGAGGAAACACTTTGTACCTCGGTAAAAAATCTCATTTGCTTTTGAATACTGGACTGATATACTCCTCTTTTCAAATTAGGACCAGTAAGACTCACCTGTTCTCCGGATGCCAACGAGGGGTGAGCTCTCTCTCTGCTCATAAACACACACCACACTCACCATATACTCTGTGTTGGGCATCAAATCTGTGGAGAGTGGAGAACACATAAACACAGATGTAGGTGTTTGTGTGTGTGTGTGTGTGTGTGTGTGTGTGTGTGTGAATCCTTTGTTTTTGCAATAGCTTACCCCATAACATTACTTGGTTGGTCTTGCCTCCTACACTGGTTTCTCTGGTGTCATCTTCATTATCAGTGGGGTTAAAACTACAACCATAAAACCAACAACAAAGAACTGATGTTGTCACTTCTGGTGTATCATGTATTTTACATGAATATGGATGGTTTACTAATTTACTTATTCTTATTCTGGGGAAAAAAATCTGTGTACATTCAAGATGACATGTGAATCAAAAAGAAATACTGAACATACGTGATGAGGAAGCGGTTGATGTTATCACTGTTGGGGACAGGGGGAGGGACCCAGGAGACTTCCATACTGTGTGGACTAACCTGGCCAAAATTCAGATCAGTGGGGGCTGGTACAGCTGTAGGAAAGAGAGCAGCTTGATTCAGAGCACATTCAAAAGGTCACGATTAAATAATCAAATATGTTCAGCTCAACTAAAAGGTGCAAATGAGGGAAGTGACTAAAAGATAAAAGTATTCACACTACCATCTTTTAAAGGGAAGAGTCTGAATTTTATGTGTGCGTATGCTGTCAGTGTAAATCCATGTCTGAAGGTTTACAGCATCGTAAAAGTGAGAGAACAAGCGGTACTTTCATTGAGGGACAAAGTGTCTCAGTATGAGAAGTAAAATCAGATGATACACACACATACTGTATACACACACACACAGAGTTATTACATCAACAGCTTAAATGGTTTGCTTTGACGCGCCATGTCTTAATCTGAACCGTTTAACATTTTATTATCTCAGCACAGAGTGTGATTTGTGACTTCCTCTGTTTAACTACTGTATTACTAGTAGAGAAAAACTTTTTTGCTCTGTGGAAACATGGCTCTTACAGGTCTGCTGAGTGATTGTGGTGGGTTTGCTCTCGCCATTCTCCGTCACAGTGATCACACTAATGTCATAGTCAATTCCAGGTTCTAGTCCGTAGACAGTATAATGGCCAGCTGTTGGTAGCACCATGTCTTCAAAGATGGGCACGCTGTCGCCGGATGCCACCACCATGATCCTGTAACCAGTGATAGCTGTGGTGTTGAACGGTGACCAGCGGAGAGTGATACTGGTGTCTCTCACGTCCTCAAAGCTGAGGTCTGTCGGCTGTGGGACTTCTGGGTAGGTTAAGAGGGGATATGGGGGGAAGGGAAAGGGCAGAGAGGAGAGGAAAGAAAGAGAGAAGGCACCAGAAACACCAAACCAGAGGCACAAGTAGAAGGAAATGGGACAGGATGTGAGCCGAGTGTCAGAAAGTAGAAACCAACAGACAGAAAGACATGTAGAAGCAGTGGTTAAGATGAGCAGTGAACACTGTCCACTTCCATTAGGTTGAGATACTCAGTATATCACACCAATGGAAGAGCTAATGCCAAGGGCTGCTTTTCCTGGTTTATATTACTAACTAGTGAGGTTTCAGCTGTTGGTCAATGAAACTTCTCCATTGAAAATGTTTAATATATACACAGGAAATAAAGCAATAGCATTTCAAAACTGTCCTAGTACAGTTTCCCCGCTGTCCGTCAGCTGCTGGTGCTAAGTTAGTTGCAATGCTAACAGAGCTATTATGTGTTAAATGCTGAAAGCTGATGAGTTGTTTTCACATTAACACAATACACAATTACTGTCATCATTTTTAAAAAAAAGGTTTCTGTAAACATGCAAAGAGCTTGTTTTTACCTGTTCACATATACAGAAACTGTCTCAAACAAAACTATACTCATTCAAAACTCAGCGCACACATCAAATATTTAGCATGTCTAGACATGCACCGCTAACACAGCATGGTTTCAATGCTACATAAGAATCTTATTATTAATTATCTTTCATTTTAATTTTCTAATATTAAAAATAAATACCCCATGGGTTTTAAAACCCATTCAAAACTCTTTAATTAACCCCTGATACTGACCTGGAGTAATGACAGTTGAAATAGGAGTGCTCTCCATATCTTCCTTAACTGTAACAACACTGATGTTGTACTCCACTCCTGGACTGAGGTTCTCCAGAGTGCAAGAGTTCTGCCCTGCCTCCACAAACTCCTCCACACTGTTTCCTTGCTGCCCTTTGGTGGGAGTGCACGTTACTCTGTAGCCAGTGATGTCTTAAGGGGGAGAGAGAAAGGCACATAAGAGAGACAATTAGCCATTATTTTGATTATTCATAATACTGTATGTTGTATGTGACCTAATTGTTTGTTTTACTGCACATCCTGGTATGCAGATTTGTGTGTACCTGATGTACTAGCTCCATTCCATTGGACCGTGAGCCCTCCGGTGTCAGGGTTAGATTCCAGGTTGAGATCAGTAGGAGGAGACAGAGCTAGAGAGGAAGAGGAGTCAGAGGAAGAGGAGAGGAATGGAAGCAAAAAATTAAAAAGTGGCAGAGGAGAATCAGCACAAACAGCAGGAAATAAAAGCTAAATACAAGAATAAAAGTGTGACAGAGTAAAAATCTATTGGTTTATATTTACGTGTGGTAACACGATGGGTGATTGGGGTTCCCTGCTCCTGGCCATTTACGACTGGCTGGAGACTGTAGGTGTATTCCACTCCCGGGGTCAGACCAGAAATGTAAATACTTCCTGAGTCAGACGTCACATCTCTGGGAGCTTCTCCACCTTGACTGGGACGTACTGTCAGCTGGGAGACAAATGCACACAGAGTCAGAAACAGAGGAGAGAAAGACCCGGATTGTGGGACAGGAGGTAAAGATCAGAGGTCAGTGTTCTCCCAAAACCCGTGAGCCACCGCATCTCTGGTGTGACATATTTTGACCAAATCACATTTATTCTTGAGTTTCCACATCTGCTAACTCCAAAGGGACCTACACTGAACCAAAATTACCTGCAGTGTGTCTTCAACAGCAAGTGGAGGGAAATGCAGTAATTTGCAAAGACAATCACACAATACAGTTGTTGATTTGAGCAACATGATCAAATTTATGAATATGTGGGAGACAGGACATAAAAACAATGTGTATGTCATACATTAGCAGTGAGCATACCTTGTAGCCAATGTGTGGTACTGGAGTCCAGGATATTATAATAGAGGTATCAGTAATGTCAGTGCTAAAATGAGGAGCGCTGCCCATTGGCGGACCTACAAACACACAGAGAGCACAAGTGTGTCATGTCATGCAAGAAGATAGAAGCATCTTCCACTATTTACTTTTACATGCATGTTAGGAGGATGGTACCACATTTCCATATTGAAGTGTTTTCTTCTTATCATAAATGACCTATCTTAGTTTTTGAGGGCAGATTCCTTACTATTATTTATGGATTTATTATTAGGTGGCCACTGCCAATATTTTGTGCAGGTGTTCTACATGACATAATGAACTGTATGTAACACAATACTATAAACCACTGAATAACAAAATGTACTTTGTCGAGGATTTATACCCATCAGTCTAACCCTAATCTGAGTTCTAAAACACTGCACCTTTTGAATATATGGCCACAATACTTTACTCATTCATAACTGCAGAAGACACTTACTAGTGGTAAACACTGCAGTTTCCCCTACACTCAGTGTGTTGTCTTGCTCTGCGTGTAACGTGGCAGTGTACTCTGTGGCAGGCTTCAGGTTGAGGAGGGTATACTGAGAAAGGGGGGCAGGCAGGCGCAGCTGCTTGGGGTTAGAGCCTTCAACGGTGAGGAAGAGTCGGTAGCCGGTGATTTTGGAATGGGGAGCAAACCACAGCATCACAGCACTGTCCTCAGTCACATTTTGGAAATGGATATCTGTGGGAGCATCGGGCTCTAAAAAGAGAAAAATCAATAAAGACACAGATATGTAGCAGGCTGGTTTAGAAAACTGCAGAAAACCATTTTCTAAAGCACACCATAAAGTTCTAGATTGGATCAGTTAAGTTAAATATGCAGAAACTGATTTAGTCCTTTTCCAGTTTGAGTACATCAGTCATACTCACTAGTAGTTTGTTCCCCAATAAGCGGTAAACTCTCCTCTCCACTGTGAATGGTGTATACGCTGAAGCGGTACAATGTTCCTGGCAGTAGGTTGGTCACTTCAACGTAGGAATTTTGACTGACAGGTAGAGACATCTCTCTCTGAGGAGAACCAAACTCGTCAACAGGGGTGACAGTGACACGGTAACCTGAGACATCGCTGGCTGGGCCAGTCCAGGTCAGAACAATTTTTTTATCTGACACCTCAAAGAACTAGAGTCAGAAACAGAGGAGAGAAAGACCCGGATTGTGGGACAGGAGGTAAAGATCAGAGGTCAGTGTTCTCCCAAGAACTCGTGAGCCACCGCATCTCTGTTGTATAAAGATCAGAGGTCAGTGTTCTCCCAAAACCCGTGAGCCACCGCATCTCTGGTGTGACATATTTTGACCAAATCACATTTATTCTTGAGTTTCCACGTCTGCTAACTCCAAAGGGACCTACACTGAACCAAAATTACCTGCAGTGTGTCTTCAACAGCAAGTGGAGGGAAATGCAGTAATTTGCAAAGACAATCACACAATACAGTTGTTGATTTGAGCAACATGATCAAATTTATGAATATGTGGGAGACAGGACATAAAAACAATGTGTATGTCATACATTAGCAGTGAGCATACCTTGTAGCCAATGTGTGGTACTGGAGTCCAGGATATTATAATAGAGGTATCAGTAATGTCAGTGCTAAAATGAGGAGCGCTGCCCATTGGCGGACCTACAAACACACAGAGAGCACAAGTGTGTCATGTCATGCAAGAAGATAGAAGCATCTTCCACTATTTACTTTTACATGCATGTTAGGAGGATGGTACCACATTTCCATATTGAAGTGTTTTCTTCTTATCATAAATGACCTATCTTAGTTTTTGAGGGCAGATTCCTTACTATTATTTATGGATTTATTATTAGGTGGCCACTGCCAATATTTTGTGCAGGTGTTCTACATGACATAATGAACTGTATGTAACACAATACTATAAACCACTGAATAACAAAATGTACTTTGTCGAGGATTTATACCCATCAGTCTAACCCTAATCTGAGTTCTAAAACACTGCACCTTTTGAATATATAGCCACAATACTTTACTCATTCATAACTGCAGAAGACACTTACTAGTGGTAAACACTGCAGTTTCCCCTACACTCAGTGTGTTGTCTTGCTCTGCGTGTAACGTGGCAGTGTACTCTGTGGCAGGCTTCAGGTTGAGGAGGGTATACTGAGAAAGGGGGGCAGGCAGGCGCAGCTGCTTGGGGTTAGAGCCTTCAACGGTGAGGAAGAGTCGGTAGCCGGTGATTTTGGAATGGGGAGCAAACCACAGCATCACAGCACTGTCCTCAGTCACATTTTGGAAATGGATATCTGTGGGAGCATCGGGCTCTAAAAAGAGAAAAATCAATAAAGACACAGATATGTAGCAGGCTGGTTTAGAAAACTGCAGAAAACCATTTTCTAAAGCACACCATAAAGTTCTAGATTGGATCAGTTAAGTTAAATATGCAGAAACTGATTTAGTCCTTTTCCAGTTTGAGTACATCAGTCATACTCACTAGTAGTTTGTTCCCCAATAAGCGGTAAACTCTCCTCTCCACTGTGAATGGTGTATACGCTGAAGCGGTACAATGTTCCTGGCAGTAGGTTGGTCACTTCAACGTAGGAATTTTGACTGACAGGTAGAGACATCTCTCTCTGAGGAGAACCAAACTCGTCAACAGGGGTGACAGTGACACGGTAACCTGAGACATCGCTGGCTGGGCCAGTCCAGGTCAGAACAATTTTTTTATCTGACACCTCAAAGAACTGGAGGTCCGTAGGAGAAGCCACCTCATCTGTGGACAGAAAAAAAAAAACATACCCTCAAAATAAAAAATGTTTTGATCAAAATAGTAAGGTGACAATAGAACTGTCCTCCATGTCAGATTAGCAAACGGCACAGGCCCTGTGGATTAATCTACAGGTAATGCTAAAGTTGCTCACCCTATGCTTATGAGTAGTCACAGTGCATGTGGATTAATCCCTTTCTCTGGTTTAAGCAAACGTGCATTTGAGTGAAGTGATCCAAGTTGGTCCTATTCAGCAGCCAAAATAAGTCATATGCAGCTGCTAGAAACATTGTTGGAAAATGTGTGAAGAAACGTGTCATTTGTGAGCGGAGGAAGAAAAAGCATAATGTTTAGGGACCAGCCTGCAGCAAGTTCTAATTTATCACAGATTTTAGGTCCCTTACAATGTCCTGTACCAAAAGCATTGATGTCTCTTGCCACTTTAAACAGACAGGAAATTGAAGAACGCATTAAGTCACATTTGAAACATCTGCTAAGGTAATTGGAATCTAAACTATGGACTGGGGTAGTCGGGGTAGTTTAAAGATAAAATTAAGTTTTTAAAATATGATTTGAAAATAACTCTTTGATGCGTCCTTCATTTGCTTTTACGTTATATGTCATCAAAGCACACTGGTTTACAGTATAGCCATGACGAGGTGTGTGACATTATAATACAATTTCTGCAAAGTACCAAATCCTTAGACTACTTCCTATTTTGGCCAGACTGGATGCCAGGACACACATAAACATCTTTAATAGTAAACAGCAGAAGAGCTGGACACAGTGCAAAGAAAAAGAGGACAGACCTAAACCTGCTCGCTGCTTGCCTATAACAACACAACCCATCAGGTGCAGATGATCTGGAAGCTTAAAACATCTCATAGTGCTATGACAATGTTTGAGGTGAGCACGTCGCACAGATTCTACACCTAACCCAGACACAAGTACAGCTCAGACAACTTATGTGTAGACAGGAGCCTTATTCCTCCAACAGAGGAAGATCCACAAGGGGACAGTATAAACACAAAACTAGGTCAAGTATTGTGCGTTTATTCAATCGCACAAACTGTACAAACAAGCATGCACACATACACTTTTCCAGCATCTGCTCAACTGGCCCAACAGCATGTTTGGCCTGGCCGACTGAGACGTTTTACATAGTTCCTCACAACAGCTGTGAACTCAGTGACTTCACTTTCCATCGAAAAACTCTTCACTTCTGGTACTGAATACTGGAAATTTTGACAAAAATCCCTAAATAGGCCACAAGATGAGCTTCAGATTGATTCTGGAGGGTGCATTAGTAACATTCCTGTGAAGACCCAGAACAGCAGGAGGGCACAGTATGGATCTAAATCACCAAATGGGCAGATTTTTGGTCACTACACACTAAGAGAAAAAGAACAGATTTTCTAAATCCATACAGTTGTTTTGGTAAATATTAAACTTACAAGTGGCAAGAAAAAGTAATGGTACTGTTTGTAATTTCCTGGACAAAGAAGCAAATGTGGACTTAAAATAAGAGGTTACAGGAGCTGAAAGAAGAAAAAGTGTCTAAATAACAAGGATTGTTTCTCTGTGAATCCTCCAACTGGTCTAAAGAGTTTTTTTTGGCAGATTCACCTAGAGTTTACCCAATCCATATGCAGATTAGGTCCCCATTGTTCACACATATTCATTCATGTACCTGGCAGTGGATCACCAGTAGTGTTGACCTGCACAAAGACAGGCTCACTTTCCAGGCTGTCTTCCACAGCATAGATACTGATGTTGTACGCCTTTCCAGGTCGAAGGTCACTCAGAGTCACAGATGTTGCTGTTTCAGGGAGCATCAGCTCTGTGCTTTCACCTTCTATTGATGGTGTATAGACAACACGATAGCCTGCATGGGGGAAGAGATCACACAGTTTGTTTTATGCAGGCAACTGCCACAGGTCAACAGGCAGGGGCTCAGATTAGCTTTAGCATTTTGATTTTGCCTGTTTTGACAATATTCCCATAACGTACCAGTGATAGGAGCCAGTGGTTTTTCCCAGCTGATAACAATGGAAGTTTCTCCCACCTCCTCCACTTCATGGTCAGTGGGAGCATCAGGTGCTATGGAACAAACGAGGCATACTGTAAGGTTTCTCAATTACCCGCTTTGTTTAGAGTGTTACAAATCTCTTTTCATTGGTACATATACCATCTACCTATCTATGGAGGAGAAATTCGAATTAATTGCCGTGATGCCTACTGTCATATTCTGGCATTGAACATGTCAGGTAGGATCTGAGGTATCATCACTGTAAAAAACACAGCTTGTTTGTCAGTGTCTTTTGTTCCCCTGTCGAGATGTGTTTCCCCTGTTCAAAACTCAGTTTCATATAGCTCCTGCCTCAGTGGTTGTGATTACAATAATGTTAGGATTCAGGTTACACATCTCGATGGGGAAACAGATTTTGACACAACACCAGCAGGAGTTGTGCGTGTTCATGAACTATTCTCTCGGTTTTAGGAAGAGGCTCTCGGGTTTTATCATTCTGAAATAATAGACTATTTGGAGTTAATGTGGGTGCAAAGCTAATCTAGAGGTACCCAAGATTAAACATTAAATGACCTGAAATGAGCATGCCATGGGCATTATAAAGATGGTGAGTTAGAAGAACTTGGTTAAGTGTTCGATACTTAATTAGCAGGTTAAGTTTTATTTGACATTTTTGAGTTTGAAGAGTCAGTTTCTCATCTAACATTAAGAACTTGCAGCTGTCGGAAACACTTTGTACAACAATCGGTACAAAGTCAGCACGCAAGGCTGCCCCCTAGTGGTTCCGTTTAATTGTAAGGACTGAATTCAAGAGTAACCTTTATCATGATTTGCATTGTTTTCATAATTATATAAAGAAACAAGCACAATATAATTTGATGTGTATTATAGACCCAGAAAGTTTCCGACATGAATGGGGTCTTCAAAATTAAAAAAGAAGAGTCTCTGGAATATGTTAAGTCTCAAACAATGCATGCTGAGAAGTCTGGAAGAGAGATGGGAATGTGAAATAAGAGACAGTGTGTGTGTGTGTCTGCCCACCAGTTGTTTGTGAGGTAGTAAGAATGAGGTTGTCCTCTCCACCGTCTGTAACCTCATAGACGTTAACAGTGTACTTCCTTCCAGGCAGGAGCTCATTAATGTTCACTGAAGTAGATGAACGGGGAAGGTCTGATAGGAAACACATTTTTCATACATCAGGATCATTTTGATGGAAAATTACAAATTACAATACTGTTACTACTGTATGCACATGTGTTAATGTCTCTGTATGGATCTGCTGTTACCTAGCACCACAGGTTGTCCAGTGCCCTGCCCCTGCTCAATGAGTTCATACTCTACTCTGAATCCAGAAACTGTGTCAGAGGCAGAAACCCAGGAGATGACAAAGCTGCTGGAGGTAATTTCGGTCACAGACTCTGAGATGTCAACCACAGGTGGAAGCTGGGTGGTGTCGCCATGTGACGTAGCCACTAGGGGAGAGACAGAGATGGAAAATAAGAGATGTGGCTACTGGTGCCTCTGAAATCAGAACTGGCAACCCTGGCCAGGGCATTCTGGAAACAGAGTTTTCATATCTCAGCAAAGATTTCCTGGTTCAGTAGAGGTTAAATTAAAGGAATCAAGCCCAGTCTTCAATATCATGTTTCATCTTTTGCAAAACAGGATAAAACATTTATCATGTTTCATCTTTTGCAAAACAGGGCCAGTTGGATAAAACATCAAGCAGAGGAAAAATGCCCATGCTTAAAATGCTTATGTAGAAAAGTAGCCAAAGTAATTGGACACAGTTTATTAATAGTCAGTCAGTGAAAACTTAGGCAGCATGGAGATTTGTGGGCTTCCTCAACTCACGTGATCCATAAGTGGTGGTGAAGTCAAAGCGTGTGATCTCTCGGCGTCCGAAGCGCAGCACACTGATCAGCTGACCCTCATAGGTGATGCCTGGCTTCAAACCAGAGATGGTGTAGGAGTTAAGATGACCAGGGATCACCACCTCCTTCCATGGGCTGTGAGTGTTTTTCTGTAAAATGTGATGAAGGATGTTAGAAAAGAAGATGTGAAGGAGGTTTTAAAACTTACAGTGTAGAACCAGAAGTTAAACGTTAGACAAGTCAGGTCCAAGGGAAAGCTGGATTTAAAGATCAGACCACTCACCGTCCTCCATTTGAGAATGTACTGGGTGATGTGAGCAGACGATGGGGCATTCCACTGAATGGGGTGGGAGTTGGGCTGGTTTCCTGATTCTGTTATGATCACCTGGACAGGACGCTGACCACCTGGGACAGACAAATAACACAGACAGAGGGGTAAGCACACTAGTTTCACTGTCTCTTGTAGAGTATAATGAGGAAATAAAAAAGCAGAAGTGCCTTAAGTTAAAGCGTAACTATGATAAGCACAAAATACAAACTCTAATATAAATCTAAACTCATTTGCTCTTCTACAGTAGAGAAATCTCACACCTACAGTTTTACATAACTTATGACAGTGAGTATCAGTGAGTGTGCAGCAGTATTTCCTGAATGGGACACAGAAAAAAAATCACAGGTTCCTGGGAGATTCCACCACAGACTTCAACAGCTCTGTTTTCTAACCTTCTGTATTTCACCATGCTTTCTCTCTATCTCTGGTCCCTTGGTGCTATTACTTTTCTGCAAGAATAATTTGTATTTAGTAGAGCTGCATTTAGTGGTCACTTTACAAACAGTAAGTACAAATATAGTAGAATAAGTGATCATAAATAAAAGCTGCTGATAATATTCTACTTTCTGTCATCAATCACTATCTGTCCAATAATCCCTTCTCTTTAACATCTGTTAGGATTTTCTTAACAATAAACTCCTCAAGGTCCCACCACACATTGCACAGTATTTAACAGCTGCATGTTTGTACAGTATATTGTGCCATACTACATATGGCAGCACACTAGATCGGCTTTGGGTTCTGCAGGCTAAAGACATCAATTTACTAGATAATAAAAGCTGAATAAATAAGGCATAGCAGATTATTAAATACAAAGCACAACTGTGGTCTCTGTACTGATTTTGGAGATGGCAAAAACTCATCTTTAATGCAAACAGAAGTCATGTGGTGAGCAGAGCCCTAACAATAAGCTGTGGTGATACAAACTCGTAGCTTCTCTAAAGAACTGGGGTTTTCTGACCACTTTTCCAAATAGTAGACCTGTAATCAAAGTTTCTGAGCAAGTGGCTCGGTTAACCAGAAGTTGCCTGCAGATACACAAACCTCAAAAACGATCTGGAACCAATTACAGCCTATTACAGACCCACAGGCCACTGGAGAGGGTAGGGGTTACATCGAATCAGATGCACATTTGCAGTGGATGCATGTACACATGTGCGTTCTGCCAGCATTATACTGTACACACATACAGACTTCTGCGAAACTTAAAAACACGCACACGTGTATGTACACATTCCCCTTTCCACACATAAACACAACATACATCCTTGTTAAGGCACCACAGCAAAAGGAGGTAATGTTGAGAGTTATTCTTACAATAAGGACCTCAAAAGATTAAACCCAAGACATGTGGAGATAAACATAAATGGCTGAAATGAACCTTTTTAAGGAGATCTTATCAGCATAGGGCTAAACCTAAAAAAAATCACTTTGGGTTTTGTGTTTTTACCTTTTATGGTGTTTTACCCAGTAAGCAACTGACTTGGAGTCTGAATCTGCCTCTTGCTGCCCTTAACTTGTAGCATGCATAATGCATTCCCTAACCCCTTACCCTGACCTTAACCATCAGAACTTAATGCCAACCCTAACCCTTCCCTTAACCCTAACACTAAACCTAATTCTAATCCTCGAAAAGTTTACTTTCCAAAAATGTCCTCACTGTATAGCAAGTACAAGAACACACATACACACACACAGTTCACAGCTGGTTGCCATTATGGACACTTACAGCAGAATAGTGCCCTACATTTTGTGTCTCCTCACAACCTGCTTCTCAAATGGCACAAACAAGTAAAAGTTGAAATGTTTCTCTATTTAAGACACATGAAAACTGAAATTCAGTTTCCACTAGCAGAGATGTTAAAATGTTTTATTCCCAGCACAAACACCCATCATACACATGCACATGACTGTTTTTACCATAACTTATACAAGTGTTTAAAATGAACAGGGTTTGTATTTAACTCCGACTGAAGGCCTAAAGAGGGAAAAAACTGAATTTTTGAACAAACTGCACAGTCAGCAGCACAGTGTGGCCACTTAAAATGACAAAGGAGGCAGACAGCTAGTAAAGTAAACAACGACTGTAAAGAAATACAGGCATATGCAGGAGGGAACGTAAAACAGAACAGTGAGAACAACTTAGCTGCAAAATGTTGGGGCGTGCAGCGATGATCTAGTCAAGACTGGTTTCAAGTCATGTGTAATGAAGTAACTTAAGTGATTGATAAAATCCACTAAATTGAAAACTGTTGCACAACAACTGCAGTAGGTGTGTGCATGGGGGCTGGGATGTATTTGACACAGCTGTGGCAACAGCACAGGGGGTGTGGGCCTACCACATGCCAGCAAGACCAAAGGCTCAGAGTGGGGGGTTATATTTGTAAATGAGGAAATCACACGCCCTCCCATCTCTGTCTGTTTCACATCAAAGTCACAGGCAAATAATGAAGCACAATTTGTAAAGTTCACTAATTTCACCATCAGTAATAGCGAACATTTTGTCAGTTCGTTCTCCTGTACAACACCAGAATCCAGTCATATAGACTTTTCAGAGACACAAGGCTTCGCCAGCTTACCGACACTGAATGAACAGTGGTGCCATCTGAGTCAAACAGCAGCAAGCATATAATAAAAACAAATATTATCAGGGACTGAAACAGGAAAAGGGCTCAAAGCAACACAACCGGGACAGTAAACGTTTTGCTATATAAAATGACCAGGGATGAAAGAGAAGAACAAGCTCAAGCAGACAGGCAGAAAATCTGATCTGTCTTACAGTTCACATTGGATCATTACATCGCACACTCTTAACGTCACATGAACATCTTACCTGGGTATGACTGCTGGGGCTCGCAGCTGAGCTCTCCAAGACCATTGCCGTAGCAATAGCACTTGAACATGACACCATGCATCACTTTATCCCAAGACTCTCCAATCTGATAGAAAACTTTCGTCTCTGGTTCCTGGCACTGATCTGAGGGCAGAGTCGCACAAAAACCAGGTAATGCAGCACAGCACGAATGCAGCTCCAAGTGCATATCTTATTAAAGTGCAGAAGTCGCACAAGCACACGGATATACAGAATGATCAAGCCAATTAACAACTGTGCAACTTATTTGTATCCATATATACAAAACCTTTTTTCTCTTGCTAATTTCTATCCCTTAACCTACATGAAGAAAAAGATTAGGACCCACCAACGGCATCACACTTCCACCGGCCACGCCCTTGTCCAAAGCAGGTGCAGTTCATAACATATCCCTCCTCATGATGTCTGGTGAAGGTCTGGTTCACATCGTAGGTCAGACCATCTACGATACACTGATCTGCAACAGACACACAAACACACATATAGCGACATGTGGCGGAACAAATGCAAGCTCAAACTACTTATTCAGGGAATGCATGAGTGTCCTCACAAAACAAAGACACGGCTGTATGTGTGTGTCCGTACAACTGTCTTGCAGGTGCAGCTGATTACCCCATAAAGTGCTGGTGTACTGTACAGGCTCACCTTTGACCTCTGGCAGGTGAGTGGTGATATCACATGACCTTTTACCTCTGCACTTAGAGAATTCTAACATTACTTTCTAATTAAGTCACACAAACACTGCCATGACAGCAACTCTCCAGCATTTATTATTCCTCTGTGTAACCTATTCTTTTTTCACTATTACACACAGACACACACCTTTAAGCTGCGAGTAAGCAACACAGCTCCATTCGCCTCGGCCGTTGCCAACACAGGTACACCGCATCATATGACCTAGGACATCGTGGCGTTTGTCCCACCGGTCTCCCACATGGTACATCACCCCTTCACTTGACGTGCACACTTCTTCATTGGCTAGAACACACAAGGCATAACTAGTTAGAAAAGCACATACTACTTCGCCGAGCTCTTGAATTTCACTCCTGTTTGTGTTTGAAATGCTGGATATATGTTTCAACATGTGGAACAAACTTATCCACAACATTTTTGTTGAACATATCGTCTGAGCATATCATACACATCTAATTAGTAACACAAGCAAAGCACACCAGGATCAAAATACCATGAAAACAAACACATTGCAAACCAGGCATAAAATGAATGGAGCTTGCAAAGAAGCCCTTGAGTTTAAAATGAAAGAACAAGTGTTTATTTTTTTTTTATACATAAAACACTTGTAGGTTAAGTTGAATGACACTGCTTCAGTGGTGGTGCTGTAGAGCAGGTGGAGGAGCGGACAAAACAGATGAGAAAAAAATGCCCATAAAGACATCTGTATATGGGAAGATGGTGGACAAGTAGAAGGCAGATCTGCTGTCTGGGAGCCCCGCTAGGGCTTTTGTATGCCAGGAACAATAGGGACCGGAGCCAGACCATCCAACCATCTGGCTTTGTCAACTAAGTGCCAAGGCTGTAGCTGGGACAGACGTACAGGGGCTGGAGTTGTTTAGGACATGATGTAGGACATATCTTGGTTTGAAATATGGAGTGGCCAAGTTCTATGTTAAACCTGTTTACATACTGGTATGCACGTAATTCCTGTGAATTTAACATATTTTTATATTAAAATATTTTTAGTCTTTTAACTTACGTGACTGATGAAAATGCAGTTGTGGTTCAAATATTAAAAGAAGTGTAATAAATTTAATATGACTGTATTAAAACAAATATCCATCAAAGTTTTAGACAATCAAATGAAAACAATTTTAATCTGAAATATTCACTCACTTATTCATGTGTTTCTTTTTTACATTAAATTTTGCATAAAACAGTTTTTATAAAATGTTTGGTTGCAATTTCACTTTGAATTTTCTCATAATTAATTACACAGGTGCTTCTCTTGCGTCTTTACAGCTTGTGGATAAATTCTTGGAGGCCTGTCAGTGTGATCTCTGGACTCCTTTAATCAGTTCCAGTTACACATGGTTATCTCGAGTCTGAGTGTATTTGGCCTAAACACAACTTTTGAGAGCCTACAATCAATCGTGCATTTAACTTTTTTAAACCAATCACTATCGTCTAAGGGTAATATCACCATTGATTGAATGGCTCTAAGTGGCTATTTAAAACCTAACTGTCTGTTTGACCATTGTGGGCAAAACTAAAACAATACCCTCTAGGTCAAATAGGTTTCTACCTGCATGAATGAATGAACACAGAAGAAAATTATAGCTTAAAGTTTAAGTTCTCAAAATAAATCAAACTAATTCAGCGCTCCATTTTCCATACAATTCAAAAGCTAGTTTATCTAAGAGGGAGGGGTATCAGCTGTGTACCATCTATATTCTGCAGCCAGCTGCAAAAGAGATTAGACTATCTACTTTGAAATCTAACTAAACATAGAGTGTTTTTTGTTTAAAGTAGAGCTAGCCTTCCTTCTGTGTGTGGATACTGTTTTATAGCTCTATACATCTAACTGTACTAGGACTGTGCACATGCCATCCACTAACAGAACTGAAGCAACATCTGGGATAAACCTCAGCGCTACTCTACAATTATGCTTGAAGGCATTTACTCACTTAAATCCCCTTTGAAGACAAACACGGCAATGCCAAAGACTCACATTTGTTGCGACCACTCCTCTAGATTTAAATCATTTCTACTCTTTTTACAGCATGCTGGCATCATCGTTACCATTTCATCAGTCCTTCACAGGCATTAGCGCAGTGTCAACAACCCCCTAGTGTTTCACCGTCTTCAGTCTTTTGTTAAACCTGGAGATCTAATTGACACCTATACAACACCACAACACATTTGTTACAAGGCGACAATGACTTCAATGTGAATTTGGCTATGCTATAAATAAAGGTGTTTTAACAAGATTATGTCTCTGTCATTAGACATGAGTCCTTTCTAACATCACTCTGATAATAGCTTTTATGCAAACTAAGTAAAATCAGCAGTCAAATACTCTTCATTGTGGAGGAATGCTCTTAATACAAAGTAGGTGTGAAATACTTGATTCAGACAGGGTGGAGATACGTTTTACTTAAGACTGGGAGGGATATTCCAATTACCCATGCTAATCATATTAGTTATTCCCAGGGCGAGCAAACTGCTGAGGTGATCCAGCTGATTTCAGAAAAACATTTGAAATACTGCGGCATAAAATCCCTTTCAGTACCACACGGCTTCACACAAACACCTCCAGCAGCAACACCTGGAGTCTCTAGTATTCAACAGGCAGTCTCTCTTCTCTGCCTCTCTCTCCATCAGACACACATTCACTTACCAGCCATGGGACAGAACCCAAAGCGCTGCTCTGCATCATAGTTTGCTGTGGTGCCACACCACTTCATGCCATCTCTACGACCATCTGCAGTACAATCGGAGTAGTTTCGCCCATTGTATAGGTAGGGGAACTGGCACAGAGCACCATTAGAATTACCGCCTCGTGTTACCACAATCGCTGTTGAAGAAAAAAAACTTGATATCACTTTGACTTATCAATATCCAAACACAATACAACTTCTGATTTTGTGGTTTAGGTATTACATAGTATTACATATATGAAAATGAATGAGAACATTAACTGTTTGTCTTTCTGTAAAGACAATTCTATCTTCAAAGTTGTATAGAGCACAACAGACAACAACTAAAAGATACCCAAAGTGGTGTTAATTAGCCAACATTACAGCTGCACATATTCTGCCATACTCTTCCAAATTACACATTTTCGTCATCACAGTTTCACTTTAAAATTCCTTCACAATCCCGACCTTTAATAATATTTAACATATGTACTCACCATTATTCTCTGTACACAATGAATATTTCAGATCTTTGTCAAAATCAGAGGAGGTGGAACACCACAGCAGTCTGTCGCTGCGTCCATCTGAGGTACAGGAGTGGTAGGTCTTCCCCTTGTGAACAAAGGGGAACACACAAGGCTGACCTTCAGAGTTGCCACCGTACACTGGAGCTGGTCCATCTGAACAACAGGAAAACACACAAATACATAAATATCATGTGATCAAGAGCTCAGTGCATCAAACAGTTGCATTTATCTGTGGGGTTGTATGTTTTTTGTCAGCTTAATCATACAACTCCATAGGTAACGTCCTTTCCAGTTAAAATTATGGCCATTGTAGGTGCCTGTAATTATTTACCATGAATTCGTAAAGAACATTTCTCACCCCACTGTTCACAGCTGACTCCATTGCCAAGACAGGTACAAATCCTCTGCTGGGTTCCCTGATTCCTAATCCAGCGCTGACCAGTGAAGTATGTCAGTCCAGCGTCTGTCCGACAGGAACCCTCCCGGGGAGGTTCATGCACAATGGAAGGCTGGTAGACCGCAGGCTGGATGTTAGTGATCACACGAGAGCCAGTGCCTAAAATGTAACATGATGATGATAGACAGGGTAGTAAGAGTCACCTAAAACCATCAGTGAGTACTGTATGAATGTACCGTATATACACACAGTAAAATAACGTCATGAGAGATTATGTTCCATTTACAGAAAAAATAAAGTTCTATTTGAGTCTTTTTTCACATCAAGCATATGTTTCTGTCTCCTGCCCTTTAATCACTTCAAACCACTTCAAGCACATTTCTCCTGCTAACTTTCCCATGTTTCAGTTTTCCCTCTTGCCATCTCTGTCTCTCTTTCCCACAGGTCATGATCACGAGTTACAAGACACGTCTTTCTCACTTCAGCACTTGGGACACTTAGCATTTCTTATCTCTCACTCCTCACAGTGTCTGTCTCTGGTCTACGTTTGTCTCTCCATGGAGACAATGAGGGGAGTGAGGTGGGGAGAGGGGTACAGATATATTATCAGTTCTCACCCAGGCCTGTGTGGTCAAGTGAGGTATGTCGCTCACACTTCCACTCCCCTCGGCCATTTCCTGTGCACAGACACTGGAGCTGGTGGCCTCTGACATCTGTCTTGGTCCAGGTGTCTCCAATACGGTAGGAGGACTGAGTGTCCTCGTCATTACAGCGATCTACAAGTGGAGAGACGAGAAAGAATTCTAAACACATACAAACTTTGAGAGAGTAATGTATTTTTTGGTAGGTCGGGTCTTAAAAGTTGGCTGAGGAATAATTGTTCCTGGTCACCAGCTGTTTGCGTGTTTGTACATTTTGATTTGTTTAGAAGTTGTTGAATTGATGGATGATAACAATTTGCTGATGACTTCCACAAAAGATTCTGCAAGGTCACCCTGAAGTCTTGCATGGGGGGGGGTGACAAACCAACAGGGAATATCATTCATTACCATCTGCTGCATAATCCAATACCATTAAGGGTGTGAGTAACGGTTTTAACTGGAACCACAACCGGTAAATGCTTCCTCTACAGCTTGTTGAAATCATGAGCTGCACTTTGTGTTTAGTTCTGCCAGTGAAGCCAGAGAGTTTATCTGCGTGACATTTGATGAGGATGAAACAGATGTGTGTACATATGGGACATGTTGAAAAAAACTGCAACATTTCAGCAGCAATCTGTTAAATGTTCTGCATGTGTGGTTCTCAGTGACCCAGTGTTCTCTCTCTGTTCTTGACAGGCAGAATTTTATTTGTGTATATACAGAAATATACATGAAGAGGAATCTCAAATACAAATGAAGGAAGGCAATGTGACCGTAAAATGAAACTGAAGAGGGAAGAAATGATTAATGAAGAAAAAGGATATGGGGAAATAAATCAAGGAGGTAACGATTTCACAAAGAAAAATAATAGTGTTTTGTACTTCTGGAGGAGCATGTGATGCGTCCGTGTCCCTCTCCCAGACAGGTGCAGTCCACCACCATCCACCCCTGGTACGGCTTCTCCCACGTCTCCCCAACAACATAGGATGTTCCCGCTGAGTTGTCATAGCAACGCTCAGCTGCAAGAAACAGATACTCACTGAAATACTTTTTCAATTTTAAACCAAAATCTTTATTTACTGGTCAACTCTCGTGTAAAACACACTGGCAAACCTAAACTGCTGCACTGGCATTTGTAAACTAATTTTACAATGAAAGAACATATGACCCACTATCCCAAGCCATTCATTAATCCACCTGGTAAATACATTGTAGGTGCCTGAATGACTCACCGACAGGTTTGCAGGTCCACTCTCCCTTGTTATTACCCAGACAGACACACTCCAACATGTAGCCCCCTGTTTCATGAGGTCTCCTCCAGGTGTCACCTATCTTATATGAAGCCCCACCATCATGGCAGCGATCTGGGTAGACAGAAGGAAAAAGATTATCGTTAGAGAAAGAAACACACACTCAGACATTTCTCCCATTAACTAACCACCCTGCTAGGAGCCCTGCACCCATTGTTAACCAAAAAGCAACACACTTACTGGCAATGGTGCAGCTGATCTGGCCCTTGCCAGATCCAATACACATACAGTCCCATATCATGCCATCCCTGGAACTCTCATAGGTCTCTCCCACAGCATAGGACTGATGGTTGGTCTTATCGAAGCACCTTTCCTCTGTAACAGATGAAAATCTAATAAAAAAAAGTCTGTCTTGCATGTGTGGTTTAATAAAGAAGTATGTAAATGAAGACAACCTGATTTGGGAAATTAGGCAAAAGACATCCTTTGTAGATTGTAAGAGAAAATAAATTTGAGACCACCACAATTAAACTGACCTTGAGGTTTGCTTTTACACTTAATGCCAGCGACTCCATGGCAGGTACAGACCAGAAGGCTGCCCCGAAACTCTCGCTCCCACTGGTCATTAATGCCATAGAAGTAGCCATTCTCTATACAACCCTCTAAAAGGAGAAACAGGAGAGAGAACACAGTTGATGAGACAGTGGTACAAGCTAGAATCAGGCAGCCTGAGGCCAAATGAAAGGGCACCACCCCACTTTGCTTCTAGACCAAAACACATACAGTAAAGGGAAAATGTGAGAGAGAGAGAAACACTCCACCCAAACACACCCACAAACACTGTACCTACTTACTGAACCATATCCTTTTTCAGACTGGAAAGACAAATATGGCCACTGCAAAATGGTTTTGCCATAATCATAACTAAACATCCCACTGGTCAGCATTGTGGGTTAAAGGATACAAAGGTGTTTTTTAACAAAGCAAACAAACCCTAAACTGGAATAAACATTTTATTGGAGGACAAGACTTCACCCATGTCTGTGAAACTGACTGTGGATGTGAATCTAACTTCAAAGGGCAGAGGAATAAATCAGCTGCACAGGCTGGAGGATAATACAGACGTTTACTTTCTCTCCCCCATGCTCTTTGTTCACTTCTCATGACTCCCAAAGCTGCAGACATCTCGTTTTTGCAACTTTTTTCAAGTTTTGAATGGAAGCAATAAATTTCTCTCTCTCTCTCTCTCTTTCTCTCCCTCTCTCTCGTTTTGATCCTTGCAGCTTTCACACACATCAGAAAAACTGTTGAAGTTTAGGTTAACCCCCGAATCAAAAATTAACAACTGATAATAATTTCTGTAGAATGTATCAAGCCAGTACGCAGGGAATTACCTAAACCACTGATTTACGTTACACGAGACACTGACACAGAGACTATAGAGAGAAAAGATGTGTCCTATGGACATACTGCTTTCCATCTCAACAACTAAAAATGTCAAATATGATCAATGGAAACCATTTAAAACTTACCCTGAGAAACGGAAGAGACGTGATGCTGTTGCGCCTGTCTCCGATTTCTTTGCGTCCCTTGGGGCATGCAGGTCACTGCGCCCCCGATACAGAGCGCAACCAGCACCCTGGCTATGGTCCCGCCGGACATTCTGCTGTAATGCCACTCGATTATTGCAGAATCTGGTTGTGCACGTTCTTTTTATGTCACCAGGGACGAAGAGAAGTCGGTTCCAGTGCAAGTCTTACTTTATGCCGCTCTCCTACCTCCCCGTGTAGTGCGCCCGTGTCCAGGCTGCGGCCTCAGTGTGTTACCGTGTGTGGGAGTGATTTATCTAGGCATGGCTCTCGGCCGGAGGTGGGAGGTCCAACAAAGACAGCGACAACCCACACAGCATGTACAGTAGAAGTGAGGCAGACAAACCTTTACGAACCAATGATGATTTTGCTGTTTTTAAAATACGAGTTTTTTTTCATGGTTGTCTCAATGCTACCAGCAAGAGCAGGCAAACAAACTTTAAAATGTCTATGAAATCCTGATGCTGAGCTGCTACTTCTCTTGAACAACCAAATTATCTGAAGGGTTGGGATGTGTGTTTGAAAGTTGATTTAAACCAATTTTGTTTCTTTTGTGCTTCGAATTATGCGTTTACTGTATGTAGAACAGGGAACGTACACCCAAATGTGTTTTTCTTTCACTATGAAACCAGACTTTACTCTTATGCAAATTCATATACCTACCATCAAAAATCTGTAAATGAAATGCGTTTTCACTGCTAAGTGGTATTATTATCAAGTGTTGCCTTACAATTTTATTTTCATTGAAGCATCAGAGTCTTGCTGCAGGACAGTGATGCTCTGCAGTGTGTTGGTCTATAGGTCTGGGTAAGTGATCTACAGGAATCAGGTCACATGGCGTCAGTGTCTGGAAAGTCTCCAGCAGCCTGAAGTTTCAGGGTCTGGAAAGTGTTTATGTTCCGGGGGTCATTGAGATGACCTCTGCGTGACGCACTAATTTCTGTATTGTACAAGTCAAGAGGTGAGTTTCTCCCCCACTTTTCTGATTGTCTACTTGAAGTCTTCAACATCATTTAAAGGGGAGTGCTCTTCATCAGTCTGCTGTTTTCTCTTAGTGACAACTTGCTCTGTGCTTCTTACTGTTACTGGCAAAGGCATATGGAGTATTGTACATATTAAAATATATGTTTTTAGTAGATCCCTCTTTAAGTAGGTTTCCTTGTCCTTTTCTTTCAGCTTGTTGTATATATTGTAACTAGTGAACACTGTAAGTGAAAAGCCCCAGTAATACTTTTGTTTTACCAAAGCCCACATTTGTTTCCGCTCCCCATGAGTTGTAACTTCCTACCATGACTTTAATCACGTCTAGACAGTTCAGGGGTTGAAACACTCATGCATGACGAGTCCATCAGTTTCAGAAAACAGAAACAGTTCTCTTACTCTCTTGACTCTATTGTGGAATTAATGGATGCAAACACTTCAGCTGGATTAATGTATTGGGTACTTGGTGCAGTCCAGGCCTAGAGGGAGGTATTTAAACCTGCTGCTGCTTCAGTCTAGTCTTTTTGTCAGGACCACCCCCATCCATGAACCAAGAAACTAACTCAAAAAGAAAATTTACACACATTAACAATACAAAATTAACTAAATCTGCTTCACTGATCAATTGTGTATAGCCAGTCTCAAATGCCTAACATCTACCTACAATTTAAATATAATATTATTTATATGGTTTAGCATTCGTTTGAAGCACAGGTTCTTCAAAAAATGTGACGTGAGAATAAGTCACCTAATTTCATATACGATATATGTTGTAGTTTATGCTTAAAAGACAGGTTGTACAGTTAAAAAATATAAAAACAATAGTTAAAAGTATTTTATTGGTATGAAACTTCTTCTGCTTGGCTTAATAGGTGTAATCAACATATAAAATGAAAATGGTTCATTTCACATATTTGCAACCTCCCCCTTCATGTTTATATCACATAGTGTTTAGGGTCAATTTGACCCTGAACAGAAGAGGTGTCTCATGTTAATTTATCAACATCACTTCATAAAAAGAAAAGATTTCAAAATGTAAAATAAATAAAAAAAAAAAATCTATGTCATGTAAAAATAATCTATTTTATATGTACATAAAAAAAGTTTTAACATGCATTTTTTATGAAAAACAAGTGCATTATCCTCATTGAACCATAATCTGTGAGAGGTAAAGAACACCATTACACTAAATAGTGATTGAACTGGTTAGTAATGGTAAAACTAACCGAGGAACATCACTGCTGTTCCTGAGAAATGAACATAACAGGTGGGTTAATAGGAATCTGTTAGACCTGCATAGCAATGAGATGGAGTTTAAAAAAGACAAATGTGTAAACTTCCATCTTATATATCCTGTCAGTCAGAAGTTGTCAACACTAAACATAAAGAAATACCACCAGAGGGTAGGGCTGAATATGAGTTAGACTTTTCCAGACATGGATTGTTTAAACAGCAGAGATAAATAAACTCAAAAGATAAATGCCTTTATCAAAGGAGGATTTGAGATAGTGTACTTAATTTGTTGAGTGGTTTAGAGATCACATTCTAAAGCTCTGCAGCCCTGACAGAAATGAAAAACATCACCCAGTGAGTACCCTTATTTCCTCTGTAATGTCATGAGCACAACTGTTCCAGCAGTAAAACAGATTGTCAGTAAGCGAATCGAATCGCTCAAGCTGTGGTGACCAAGACAATGTGGGCTATCCTATGCATATCAGGAAATCCATGGAGTGTAGAGAGATGTTATGTTACCATCATTTGATGTCTGCCTTAACTAGCATTTGCTTCTCACCTTTAGACAATCATCTCTGGAGAAGGTTTCGCATGGTGTTCAAGGCTACAGGAGGTATGAATAACTGGGAGTGCTGGGAGTGTGGGGAGATCTTGAGAGTGAATGGAAAGTTGAGAAATTTGACCTAGAAAAGTTTGATGTGTGAAATTCATACTGTAACTTTGTGACTGAATTACTCAACACATTCAGCATGACCATTCTGAGAAACAGGACAAGGGTGAGGAGAGGGGTCACAGCTGCTGCACATTTTGAGCCAACTTTTCCTTCTCAACCCTCCCTCAACTCAGAATGTGACTTTCAAAATCATTTCTTCACCTTTTTGTTTTGTTTTCTGTTTCTGTTTAGTGTGATTTTAGCATCATGAATGTTTCACCCTGGCAGTGGATATTGGTCATTCGTAACACTGTGGAGGGGACTTATCTACTTATATAGCATTTTCCACTGTTTTGCATTCCCCTGTCCGAACCCCCTGCCCTCCATCTTTAGCATTCTGATGTGTCTGTGGGAACTCTGTAGGGCATTTTTCTTTATCTTTTTATCCATTCCCTTGTCTTTCCACAGACTAAGTCCCATTGTTCTGTATCACAGCGTTCTGGGTTAGTCCCCCTCACCAGGAGGGTGAAGGAGAACTGAGATAGGACTCAAGATTGCCGACCCAGGTGCTAGTAAAAAGGTGGTTTAATGGTGGGAAATGCACAGTAACAACAAAACAACGTATCATAGTCCATGTACAAAAGTAGGGCAGAGATGGTGGAGGAGACCAGAACGACCAAGGGAGTAGACAAGCTAACGGCAGAAACCAGGAGAGTGGGAGGATCAGGATGGACAGGTGAACAGACAACTAACCAGGAGGAGTGGCGAATGAAAAAGGAAATCCACAGCACAGGAACTGTCAGCATGGAGAGCAAAATGTCGCACAATACATACCATGAATATCGGGCTGTTATGGGGTATGCAAGTTATGTTAGGTAATGCTCCGGCGATGACGGAGCATCTGCCAGAGGTATAAATAAGGAGGAAGGTAATCATTGGGATGCACCCCAGCTGTGCGCACCGACAAACGAGTCGCTAATTACTGAAAGTAACACAGCTGAGGTGCAGATCCCGCAGGATCGAGAGAGCAGAGAAAGATGGAAGAGAGGCAGGTCGCGCCGAGCGGACCCAACACACACAGCGTCTGAGAATGCATACAGAGACCTATTGTAGCTCGAAGACAATTGTTCTGTAAAGCTGTGCTACATTTTAGGGGCCATCTCATTCAAAGTCTGTATAAAATGGGACAACAAAAGGGAACCTACCATAATGTGTCCTTAATGTAACCAACCTTAACCGGTGCCCAACATGTGCGCCATCTGCGCGTGTGCACCTGGTGCTGTACCCAACCCTGCAAGTGCAGCACATACTGCTTCCTATCTGAAAGCCTGCCTTCTTTGGAGCTGCCTTTCAGAACTACATTTCAGCACCCCTCAGGAGGTAGTACTAAAATCAAGTTCCAGGAACACAAGGGGGCAGGGGTGTGTGTGCACAGAGCGGTCCCTCATGTTGGCTTCTTCACACCTCAGCAAAGCAGCACAGCTACTGTGTTTGTGAAAGCCCCTGTGTCCCAACCAGTTTTCCCAAACTGTGTGTACTTTATATGATACATTTGTTTTTTTTTAAGTGTGTCTTAAAAAAATCTTGAATTATACAAAAAGAAACTAATACATTTCTAATTTCTGTCAACATGTCATCTGTTTTCCTGCCCCCTGCATTCCTCTCTTCTTCCTACTCATCCTCAAGGGAGATGAGGTCACAGTCTGAGGAAAGATGGACTGATTAAGAGTTTGGCCTCCACAGTTGTGTTGGGTGGTTTTTCTTTGACTGGCTCCAAAAGCATGTCAGTATTTATAACTGTTCTGACCTGCTTTAACATGCAGCAAAAATCACTGAGTAGGTAAATAATTGCCTTGTAATTCTTTAACCACATGTCAACATCTGTCTCTATCACAGAGGCTAATTTTAGTGGTTCATCATCATATTACAATACACACAGAGGTGGTGTACTGTGTTGTATAATATGTAAAGGTATAATAACTGAATGTAATGTATGAATTTGTTTTAGGGGCATAAATGATGCAGATTCATCATCTTTGTTTGGGCAAACAGCATAAATAAAGATGGTTTTGTGAGGTCCCCCACCTCTGCCTGCCCAGGAGATTAACATATCTGCCCACTCTGCATGACCTCAGTGGTTTGCTGGGGAGATGTGCAGGAAAATTATATGAAGTCCAAGAGGGCGTGAGAGAAACATGGCCCCTAACCACCTCCACAGCAGAACGCCACGGATATGAGTGATTCAGATCTCTACCCACTCAATTTTTATAGATTGACATGAAACTTCCAAATGTGTCATGTACACCTCATGGATAATTTCCACTGTTACTGTCATGGGAGCAATGTTTGTG